TCTGATTGAGAGAGGAAATTTGTGAATGTCATTAGATGGCATTGAAAAATACAGAAGATCCCCACTAGAATAATACTTTGTGCTGTGATATTTCCCAAAAAAGAGTCAGTAAGACATAATCAGACTGGAAAGATTAAGTAAGTACTGTGTGTCCAGAGCAATAGTAAGAGAAAAACAAAACAAAAACTTGATCCCTGTGTTTAAAAAATACTCCAGCAATTAGTTAAAATGCAAACCAGTTGGTACTAATTATAAAAATAGAGCTTAAATACTGATGATATTGTTCTAGACTACAAATTGTTGAAGGTGTTTTCATAGAAAATAGGAAATGAGGTGGACCTTGAAAGTGGGACATGGTTGGTTAGATAGGAGAACTGATTGACATAAGCATAAGCGTTGGTGAGATTGAACCTGTGGGACTTACTGAAGAAATCTGTCTTCATTGGAGTGATCGAAACGTTGAAAGAAAACAAGGTTGATAGGGAACATGTGACCACAGGGTATGGACAGCCTCCAGAGCTAAGTAAAGGTAGCTAGATTTGTGCCTTTGATCATTGATTCTCAAACGTTAGTGTACAACAGAATCATTGATTGCTGGGATCCACTCTCAGAGTTTCTGAGTCCATAGGTCTGAGGTGGGACCTAAAAATAAGCTTTTCTAATGTGGTCCCAGGTCACACAGGTCAGGAGAACATACTTAGAGCCACCGATTGAGTCAACAGTGAGAGTCTCTTGACTTGAGAGTAGCCTATGGATATGAAGAAAGTTGTTTCAAGATGTGAAGTAAAATTTAAGGTAAGCAACTTACCTTGATTCATAATTGGGAAGGTGATTTGAGATCTGAAGAGAAAAGGAGGTTAGGATGGAGGATCGTAAGATACTCCGAAGAAGATTTAAGTAGACCAGTTTGTTGGTAACATAAACGTAGGAAGGATGGAACGTGGAACTGCGGTTTCATGCTTAGAAGAATGAAGATAAATATCAAAGTGAGAAATTTTAGATTTGTTGAATTTCAAATAATTTGATATCTTATGGGTAGCTAGATAATATTATTTGAATTTTGGAGAGCCAGGGAGAGGAAACAAATGTTACAATTTTGAATGGAAAAATGATTAGTCTTTCCTAGTTAAATCTTTGAAATAATGAAGTAGAATATTATAAACTCTTTAGCATCTCATACTGAAATAATTGTTAAACTCAGTTATGAAAACTGTCACAAAGTAAGAAATTTTGGTTTTTGGCTTTATGCTCTTATTTGTAGACTAAGCTAGTGTTTTATAGTTCATAAAAAATATTAAGACTTTGGAGTTTTATGAAGTTTAAAGTTTGAATGACTGTTTTTGTTAGTATGATATATACCATACAGTTTGTTGAGAGGACTAAGTAGAAGCTTATAACTCGATCATTTGTTCATTCAAGAAATATTTATTGGGGGCCAGCAAGTGGCATGGTGGTTAAAGATGCTAGATTCCCACATGGCAGACCACAGTTCGAGTCCTGGACTTGGTGGCATGCTTTCTCGCTTTCCCTTTCTTTCTGTCTCTATCTAGTCAAATTAAAAAAAAAAAAAAAAAACATAAAATGGAATTAAAAAGTAAATACTTGTTAAAAATATTTATTGAACATCCATATGTCAAGCATAATGTAGGACCCTAGCGATTTAGGAACGCGATGGTAAAATATATGTAGTTCCTGCTCTTCTTGAAGATGCAGTCTAGTGGAAGAGACAGACATGAATCAAATAATAATAAAAGTGAGTCAATAATTACAAACTGACATTAAAGCTAAACGTGAAGGAAATCTGGTCTTATAAGAGCATGTAACAGAGGAACCTAATGTAGAATAAGGAGTCAGGAAATTACCCTTTAGCTGAGAAAGGTAATTTTTATTAGAGGATTATTTGTCCAACCTTATTTATTATTATTGTTTTTTTTTTTTAAGTTTGGCCAGAGAGACAGAGAGAGACAGAGAAAGTGAGAATGCAAGCCACCAGGCCCAGGGTTTGAACTATGGTCAGCCATGTGAGAGTCCAGTGCCTTAAACACCATACCTCTTGCCAGTCCCGATCTGAAGAGTTATTAAGGAAGGAACCAGCAGTTAGCGTAATGGCTATGTCGCTGGACTCCCACGTAGTTGACTGTGGTTCATGCTGGTTCATGCCCCGTACCCGGTGGCTTAAAACTCACACCGGGCGCATGTGCATGCATGCCCAAGATCCTAAGAGGAGAATGGAGGAGAAGGGACTGTGGCATGGCCATCCCCCCTGGGCGGTGATTTCTCGCTTTCTGTCTCTCTGTCTCTGTCTGGCGAGTGCACACACCCTATAGCGAAAAAACTTTCCAAAAAAAAAGAGTTATTAAGGAAAAACTTACTAGTAATTTTTCTAGTCAAAACCCAATACTTATGGGACCAGTAGTTGGCGTAATGGCTATGTTGCTGGACTCCCATGTAGTTGACCATGATTTGAGTCCTGGACCTGGTGATTTAAACTCATGTTGAGAGCATGTGTGTGTGTGTCTGTTTGTCTGTCCAAGATCCCAAGAAGAGAATGGAGGAGAAGAGATTGCTGTGTGGCCATCCCCCCTGCCGGGTGATTTCTCGCTTTCTGTCTCTGTCTCTTTCTGGCAAGCACACATGCCCTATAGCAAAAACCTCTAAAAAAAAAAACAAAAAAAAAAAAACTACCCTAAAAACCCAATACTTATAGGATAGAGTCCTTTTCTCTTTTTGTTAGTACTAATAAAATTCATACAACTGATAAAATTCATACAGTATCTATTTTAAGATGTTTCTTCTTTTACTGAAAAAGTAAAATCTCATAGTAGAATAAAAAATAAAAATTGCTGGGACCAGCAGTTAGCATGATGGCTGTGTTGCTGAACTCCCATGTAGTCAAACATGGTTCGAGTCCTGGACCTGGTGGCTTAAACTCATGCTGGGCGCGTGTGCTTGCATGCCCAAGATCCCGAGAGAAGAGTGGGGGAGTAGAGATTGTGGCGTGACCATCCCTCCTGGGGAGTGATTTCTCACTTTCTATCTCTCTGTCTCTCTCTGTCTTTCTGGCGAGTGCATGCACCCTATAGCAAAAACCTCTCCAAAAAAAATAATAAAATCATCCCTGCCTATAAACTTAGCACCAGGAGATAAGTACTATACTTTTTGACATACTTTGTTCTAAGCTGTGAATGTGTTGTAAACTTTTTGAATAAAATCATATTAATATTTATTTCTACAGCTTCCATTTGTTTTAATTTAACATATGAACATTTTCTTCTTTCTTCAGATGTTCTTCAAAATGCGATTTTTTTTTTTTTTTTTGAGAGGTTTTTGCCTTAGGGTGTGATGGAAACCTAGAGATTGACAGAGACAGTGGGAGGGAAAGCGAGAAATCATCCCCCAAGGGGGATGATCGTGCTAGAATCCCTTCTCCATTCTCCTCCTTGGATCTTCAACATGTATGCACATGTACCTGGCATGAGTTTGAAGCCGCTGGGTCTGGGACTTAAACTTCTGTCGGCCATGTGGGAGTCTAGTGATGTTACTATTGTGCCATCTGCTGGCCCCTAAAATACGATTTTGAATGGGCGCATATATGGAGACCTAGAGATTGACAGAGACAGTGGGAGGGAAAGCGAGAAATCATCCCCCAAGGGGGATGATCGTGCTAGAATCCCTTCTCCATTCTCCTCCTTGGATCTTCAACATGTATGCACATGTACCTGGCATGAGTTTGAAGCCGCTGGGTCTGGGACTTAAACTTCTGTCGGCCATGTGGGAGTCTAGTGATGTTATTACTGTGCCATCTGCTGGCCCCTAAAATACGATTTTTAATGGGCGCATATTAGTCCACCGAGTGGATATATCATTAATTTACAGCTATTAGTTGCAGTTGGACATCAAGATAGCTTCCAGTTTTTTACTTCTATAATTGGGATGTACATTTCATGCAGATTGTTGCTCATCAATAGATATATTTATTTATTTTCTTTTTTGTAAACATGTAAACTTACTTCTTAGGGTACTTATTTTCAAAACATAATTGTCTTTTGATTGAATGTCCTAAAAGTGAATGTACTATAAGGAGGAATTTCCTTAATAGTTAGTGAATTAATCAGTTATATCATAAACTTTTATTTATCATTACTGTCATTATTAACTTAAAATAGAAATATTAATGTGTAATGTCACTGAAGGAAACATTTGATACCTTTGAATACATTGTAACTCCAGCACTTTAGCAGTACCTCCTAAGTGTTTTAGGGAACAAAGTTACTATTAGATTGCATCATTTTTATATAAGAAGTCAGCTTCTTTGAGTAAATAGCAAGTCTTTTGACAGTGTCTTTTAGTATGTATTTAATACTACCAATGAGTTTTAACAGTTTTCATTTGTTGTGTTCAACATGTGGATAGTCAATATTCAGTTCTGTTTTTGATAAGTATTCTTAGTCATTACATTTAAAGATTGGATACTGAATAGTTTCTCAGTCTATCAGTTATTCTGTAAAACTGACTAATCTACTGGTAACTAAAAAATTATTTAATTTTACTTATCATTATTATTTTAAAATTGCATGAGAGATAGACGGAAAATGAGAAAGCAAGCCACCAGGAATGGGACTCGAACTGCGATTAGCCGTGTGGGATTCCAGTGCCTTAACCACCATTCTCCCTGACAGGCTCTAGCAATCTCTTTAGTCTGTTGCTTAAATTCTGCCTGACAGCCTCTAGCAATCTCTTTAGTCTGTTGCTTAAAACTTTTTTTTTAAATGAACAAAATTCTCTTATGTGTCCATTTTTGGTGGGGAAAGAGAACAAATCAGGGAATTCCTAAATATATTTAAAGAAAAAGTTGGTAAACATAGGTCAGTTGTCTTGATGATAAGTGTCAGAATATTGGTTTCATAATGATCTTTAATAGCATCATTTTAGTCTGTCAGTTTTTATACTTCTATTCCAAATTTATTTTCATTTTGAGATTAATTCTAAAACTGTATTTTATAGAAGGAAGAATACTTTTGTTAGATGAGCGGTAGACGTAAATGAGTCAAAATATTTTCTTGAGCTAAAGAAAATTCTTTGTGGTTTTATTCCATATTCATAAGTGAGCTAATGATATTAAACTTAGCCTTCTCTGAGCAACATGTTAAAGCATAAAACAACATTTGAAAGATTAAAAAAATTAGGAAAAAAGTATTATGCTATTACATATTTTGAAAGCTTTTCTCCCCCTTTCCTAGGTTTATTTCCAAAGTTGAAGAGGTCTTGAATGACTGGAAACTGATTGGAAACTCTTTGGGAAAGCCACTTGAAAAGGTCAGATCTATTTGATGGTGTCTCTAAATGAGTATTTAATTTTGGAACATCTATTTTTAAGCCCTTTTACTTTATTTGGCACATTTGAATTATGTGTTGTTTGTTTTTTAAGTTTTGTGTAATCTATATTATCAAATGGCATCTAGTAGAATTGAATTCCAGTCTGTGGCAAATAATACATGTAAGACATTTGTGAAATCTTTTTTAAATAATAAAGTTTTATGTATATAATACCATTCTTTGTGAGTGATTTTATTTCTGTTTCTCTGGGTGCTTACTTTCTCTTGTCTTCTTAAAAATGCTAAAATGTATTTTTTTCAAGTTTTTTAATTGGTCAGAGAAACATTTCAGTTAATCAATTTCTTAGGCAGAGTATTTTGATTAATGAGGAAAAATCTTTGTTTTAAATTGAGTTGCTGTAGTTAACACCTATTTTATTCGATGTTTATATTTTACAGTACCATTAATAACATCCTTGTACTTTCTGTCCTTTTTAACTTGTGGGTGTTTTGAACATTTCATTTGAGAATAAAATATTTTTTGGCCCAGCCTGTGGCATGGTGGTTAAGGTGACTGGACACCACGTGGCTAACCCCAGAGTTGGAGTCCTGGACTCAGGGGCTTGAAAAGTGCATCAGGTGTGTGTGTGGGTATGCCCCAAATCCTGAAGAGAGGTGGAAAAGGGATTGCAATGTGACCATTTCCCATCGGGGATGCTTTCTCACTTTCACTGTCTCTCTTTCTCTTTGTCTCTCGCTGGCAAGTCATGGGCCCTCTGGTAAAATTTAAAAATAAGTGTATATATTTTCAAAATTGAGGTGGAACTCTTAATTCTAACCCAGGGTATAGCTAGTTTTACTAATAAACAATGCCCCAAATGTTTATTGAAGAAAATGCTGTGAGAATAAACCTAGAATTTCTTTTCTTATTCTGTTTTTAAAATTAGCTACAGGGCAGAACCAGCAGATGACATAATGATTACATTGCTGGACTCTCATGTAGTCTACCATGGTTTGAGTCCCAGACCTACCTGCTTGAAACTCAGGCTGGGTGTGTGTGCATGCATGCCCAAAATCCTGAGAGGAGAATGAAGAAGGGATTGTGGCCTGGCCATCCCTCCCGGGGTCGTTGGTGGTGATTTCTCACTTTCTGTCTCTGGAAAGCACATGCACCCTATAGCAAAATTTCTCTCTTAAAAAAAAAATAAAATAAAATTGCTGTAGGGTATGTGTGCTTATAGGATAGATAGAGAAGAAGAGGGATCTCCTTTTCCAGATCTTGGGCACACACATACACATGGGCCTAGTGTGTTTTTCAGGCCTGGATCTTAAACCTGGCAGTTGGCCAGGTAGGATCCAGCTGCCCTAAACACCACACTCCAGGTGGGCCCAAATTAACTAAAGGGGTCTAATGATTTGATTTTAAGCTCAAAGATAATTAACTCAGTAATTTATTATTTACTCAGTAATTAACTTCAATGTACCCCCCCCCCATAAGAACTTGGAATTTTTGATATTTGTTGGACTTTATCTGCTTTATGGTGGAGATAACAGAATTTGAGACTGTCAAAAAAACAAAAGGATTTCCTGGGTGCATGTGCATGTGTGCCCAAGATCCTGAGAGGAGAATGGAGGAGAAGGGATTGCGGGGTGGCCATCCCCCCTAGGGGGGTGATTTCTCGCTTTCTATATCCCTGTCTTTCTGCCAAGTGCATGCACCCTATAGGAAAAAAACTCAAAAAAAAAAGCATAAGGGTTTTTTTTATTTTTATTAATGTGAATATCAGCTGAAAAATAACACTACATATAGAAAGCACACATATAAAATATTTGTTAGAATATGTAGAGTAAATTGATTTACTTACTATATTAAATTGTTTTTATGTTTACATTTTGAATTTAGAGAAAATGTGAAGTTCTCAAACATAGATCATTATATTCCATTTGAAACAGATATGTAACAACAAATTGTTAAAATTGTCAATAAGATTAAAGGCAAAATAAGCTATATATACTGGGGATGGGAAATGATTAGCACTACCAAATAGAACTAAACTGGGTACTTGTGAGCTATGACATGTGCTTTAATTCTTTGATATACACATATTTACTGAGTGCTATATGCTCGATGTGAAGTAGTAGTGAACAACATAAGATCTGTGATGCCATTGCATGTAAATTCTAGTGAGGAAGAGAATTAAGAAGTCATAGGTAGGATTAAAATTTAGATGTTAAACTCAATTTGAGATTTAAATAGATAATGTATTTAAAGTAGGTAGCATACTGCCAGGCTGTATGTAGTAGGGGTTAAAGAAGTGTTACTTCTAGCCAGCACATTTCTTGCTATTAGATAGTACATAAATGAGTCATGAAAAGCATGAACAGTTTAACAGTTTTCAAAGTGAGCTGTAACTACGATGAATAAGATTAAACAACTGCTGGCCTAGTAGTTAGGGTGCTAGACTCCCACATGGCCAGCAGTTGTTTGAGCCCAGGACGCAGACCCTGCGGCTTAAAAATCACACTGAACAGTTTAGAAATCACACTGAGCATGTCTGTGCCCAAAATCCCAAGAGGAGAAGGGATTGCAGCATGGCCATCACCCGCCCCCCCCCAACTGGGAGTGATTTCTCACTTTCTCTCTGGCTAATGCAAGGCACTCTATGACAAAAACGAAAAAAAAAAAAAAATAATTCAAGTGTAAAGGACAGGGAATTATTCAGCATAGAAAAGTAAATTTCAAGACTGCCTTAAGAGATTTAATTTATGCAAAGAGAAATGGTTATTCTCTTCTTCGACTGTGGAGGAATTAAGAGAAACTATTTTTTTTAAGATCTTTGAAAATTTAAAAATATATAGTCAACAAAATAGTTTAATTTGGGCCAACTGGTGGTATGGTGGTAGAAGTGCTGGACTCCTGTGTGGTCGACTGCAGTTCAAGTCCTGAACCTGGTGGCTTGCTCTCTCTCTCTCTCTCTCTCTCTCTCTCTGTCTTTCACATGTGCCCTATAGCAAAAATAATAACAACAAATTAAATAGGATAACTCTTTAAAAAAAAAATAGCATAATGTACCCCTCTGTGTATGTCGCTCAAATTCAACTGCCATTTCTTGTTTCAGTAACACCTTTGTTCATTGTCCTTTTCTTGCTAGAATTTTTTGTCTTTTTTTTTGAAGGGGGAGTAAAATTTTTATTCATTGTAATGAACAAAGCTGAACTGTTCAATTTTGCAAATGTTTACACTGCTGTAACTCACACTTCTAATAAGACATAGAACATTTCAGTCATCCCGAAAGAGCTCTAGTGACCCATTCTAATTAACCTTTATGCCTTCAGGCATCTACTTTTTTTTCCCCCTGGCAGAGAAAGTGAGCATAAGTTTGCAGTCACCCTTTGTCAGGCATGGTACTCAGGTTGTGATCTCCTCTTCAGCCCAGACCCAAACATTCCTGGGGCAGTGATGAGGTATACATGGTCTCTGTCATCACTCAGCAGAGCCCTAACTGCCTGCACCATAGCTGGGCCTTTGATTTTATAATAACTTTTGCTTGCTCTAGAATTTCATATATTAGGGTATTTCAAAAAATTTTGTGGAAAGATGAAATTAAAGTAGGAGTTAATTTTGGTGAAAAAAATTGAAGTTCCTGCAGTTTTTTCATAGTACACATTTTCTATAAACTGTTTTGAACACCCTCTTTGTATATGGTATCAGATATGTATTCTTGTGCCTGACTTCTCTCTTTTTCTTTTGGAGAGGTTTTTGCTATAGGGTGCGTGCGCTCACCAGAAAGACAGAAAGAGACAGAGAGACAGAAAGTGAGAAATCACCCCCTTAGGGGGATGACCATGCCACAGTCCCTTCTCCTCCATTCTCCTTCCAGGATCTTGGGCATGCATGCACATGCACCCGGCATGAATTTAAGCCACTGGGTCCAGGACTTGAACCACGGTTGGCTACGTGGGAGTTCAGCGACATAGTCATTATGCTAACTGCTGCTTCCGTGCCTGACTTCTCTTATTCAATGTATGTTTTTTAGATTTCATGTAGGTTATTGCATATACCATATTTTATTTCTTTTTACTGTCATGCTGTAGTCTGTTTTAGAACTATACCAAGGATTTTCTTATTGACAGACATATTGACTCTTGTGAATAAAGCAGAACACTCTAGTATGAGGGCTTCTGTGGACTTATCTATACCTATATATTTTATTTGTCTTGGGTAAATGGAATTACTGAGTCAAAGGATAGGTATATACTTTACCTTTATATAATTGTTTGTACATTTTAGTCATCTATTGAGTATGTATCATTAGTTTGTCATTTTAATTTGTATTTCTCATTTTGATTTTAATTTATATTTTAGTGATGAATATTGATACTGACCACTTTTTTATGTGCTTATTAGTCATTCTAATATCTTTCTTTATCAAAGAAAGATGTGCATGAAAGCATATTCAAACTGTGTTTAAGTTCTTTGTCCATTTTATTTTTTATCTTTTTAATTTGCTATAGGGCAAACATGCTTGTCAGAGGGTCAGAGAGAAGGAAAGTGAGAAAGTACACCCCCAGAGAGGATGATCACACAGCAGTCTCTTCTCCATTTTCCTCCTGGGACTTTGGGCATGCACATACATGTGTCCAGCATGTTTTTCAAGCCACTGGGTCTGAGACTTGAGCCATACAGTTGGCCATGTGGAATCTAGGTGCCTTTTCCAACATACCACCAGCTGGCTCATCTTTGTTCATTTTAAAAAGTTATGTTTTTATTGAGTAATAGAAGTCTTTTTAGTTCTTTATTTATATTCTGCCTTTAAGTCTTTTCTGATAGCACTAGTTTTCTAGATTATGGATTAATCTTTTCATTTTTTTTAAAAAGCTTTATTAATTTATCATTTTACTTCTGTTTATTTCTGAACTACTAATTGTATATGGTATGAGGTAGGGATCAAGTTTCAATTTTTTTGGCTTTTGGGTACTCTTTTTGTCCTAAAACCTTCT